ACGACCTGTGGGTACGGGCGCCGCATATACGCGGCATCGAAATGAAGCGTATACGGAAGACGCGGATGTGTAATTTGTAGAAAAAATGATAAAAGAACGGATTAGGGAGACATTACCGTACATAACACGTATGTACCGGTCATTCGACAAGCGATCGCCGCACGAGAAAAATCTCCCGGAGCCTCCGAAAGCACGCGAGCCCGTCGAACAGCCTCCGCGATACAACCTCGAGGTCCAAGAAATTTTTCGCGCCGACGTCTACGTACGCCGGGGCACGCGAATACCTTCGCCGTCGTGAATATTCGGAGCGCCCGGTGGAATCCTTCGATCCGTGAAAATTCGTGCACACGGGCCGCGAGTGGCATACACACCTGGAATATTGAAGCTCCGTAGGGTGTGCGCCAGGCGTTCAACAGATTGTCCTTGCCGGTGGAGACGAACCATTTGCCGCAGGACGCGAAACGCAGCGATAGGACGCAGGATTCGTGTACGAGCAGGCAGTACTTATCCGACTTGGATGCATGGAGGACCTCGACCTTCGAGTTCTCCATACCGACCGCGAGCCATTCTCCGGTCGGACAATAGCCCAGGGAGAATATCTGCGAATTCAAGTCGTGCTGTTGCAGCTGTCTGCCTTCCCTCAGGTCCCAGGAACGCACGGTGTTATCGAGCCCTCCTGTCCAGAGCTTCGTGCCATCCGCGGAGATGTCGATGCAGGAGGCGCCGTCCGTGTGCCCTTGGAACTGCCGGATCAAAATCTCGTTGTGGAGATCCCACACGGCGATGTTGCCGTCGCTGCAGCAGCTGAAGCAGACTTTCGAGTCCGGCGAGATGGCCAGCGCGTAGCAGGCCGGCGCGGAGGAGGTCAGCTCCGCCTTGATCCTCGGCGTCGGGCTGGCCAGGTCCCAGATGATCAGCTGCCTCGCCTCGCCTCCGACTATCAGCGTTCTACAATCCGGCAACAGCTTCACCGATCTACGAAACGAACAAACGTTTTTTCTTTTTTTTTTCATTCGATTCGCGTTGCAGGGATGAAGATTGTTCGCGGGGGCAGGAAGAGAGGACAACGCGCGCGAGAAGCTTCGGAAGTTCCGCGGTGTTTTCGAGGGACCCTTTATTTTTTATTTTAATCTCTTGCCGTACCATTTTCTTCGTAATTAAAACGATAAGCACATTTTCGATTGTAATAATTTCTTCGAACAAAAAAGAAAATTTATATTTATCGCGAGTTTACGTTTATCGGGATGATTGAAGTATTGATCGCAAGAGGGCAGAATTTTATTCCGGCTTAAAAAACGGAATAACATTGGTGTTTAATAGGATGTTACTAGAAATCTGCGCCACGAGTCCGACTCGTTAAAGTACGGCGAGGGGTTAACCGTCGCCCGTCCCAGGAGTCCGATCAAATTGCGGGGGTAGGACTAGTTTTTAAGTTACAAGGGACGATCAAAGTAATACAAAGTATTTTGAAACTTTCTTTATTTTATTTTATTATTATTCTTATTTTGTGTTACGCAATTTTGTCACTGTTCGCGTAAATTCTCTTAGAGGGGTGAAAATTAACCCTCGAATGTTCGGCCATTTTTTATTTTACTGTTGTAATTCGCAAATTATACAAGATAGAAAAGGTCTCGAAACATGTTACTTTTTTCATCCGAATCTATCGTGCGACACGGGATTTATTAATTGTTTAAACAACTGAAAAAATTTTGTAAACGATTCATCGATATTTTGTTCCTATTTTAATTAGATTCCTATAGAAGTGGCTGTTGTTCGAGAACTTTTTCGAACAGCTTTTTGTCTTGTACAGCTCGCGAATTACAAGAATAAGATAAAAAATGGCGGAATAAAAGATATTCATCGTTAATAAAAAAAAATGGCGGAATAAAAGATATTCGTCGTTCGGCGAGCGATGAAAGCGCGTACACGCGACAAATATTGGGTTGGCAACTAAGTAATTGCCGATTTCAGTTATA